CCACGCCCTTTTTGGACGGAGCGACCTCCCGAGGCCAGTACGCGACGCAAGGATTTCCGCTGCTCACTTCCCACCTGGGAGCCTAGAAGCCGATAACACTATCAACTCGGTGGATGGTAGTACGGTGGGTGTAAGGGTAAAAGATGGAGCTCTGCCAGATCAGTCAAGCGACGAAATGTTCAGTGCTTCGAGGGGTGCCCTTGCAAGGAGTCGGAAGTCCGATGCTCTGGTGACAAGATACAGGGCAGCACTGCTGGATGACAACGAGAAACAGCGACGACTCAATGACGAGACGAGGAAGCTTAAGCTGCGCATCTCGGTGCTGGAGGCGGAGCTTAAGGAAGCGAAGCAGAACGAGGAGAGTGTGAAGGAAGCGGCAGGAACAGCCCCTGGTGTTGTTGGGATCGACCACAACCTACTGCGTGCTTTGCAGCCTGTTGGAGTTCGCTCCCTCGTCGGTCTCAGCGACCACGAGTCTCTCGAGGTCAGTGTATTGAGGCTTTTGTGCGCGTCATCAGAGTACCCAAGACCGGCTGCAACGTAGGATACATTTACATGTTTGTACATCCTAGCACTTGCTTGGTCGGCCGGCTGCACGACCCTCCGTCCCTCTCTCGCTCTCGATCTGTGAGTGTCTCTTTCTCTCTCTCTCTCTCTCTCTCTCTCTCTCTCTCTCTCTGCCCATGTGTCCCTCCTCCTCTCCCCCTCTCTTTCTGTCTCTCTCTCTCTCTGTCTCTCCCTAAGCCGGCCAGTTCCGGGAGCGACGAGCACGCCACATTACTGCATGCCGCCGACACAGCAGCAGTTGTAAAATAAGTAGATATGTGCTCCACAGACCGCTGCCGAATAATGCATACAACATGCATACAGCAGCGTGTACTTGGTTGTTCTTGACGCAAAAGGCCATTATAACATATTCTGTTGAAGCGTGAGATAGCGCGGCAGTGCGGTATGTAAGTTCCTTCCATTGCATTGGTTTCGCTACCAATCTAGCAGAGTGTGGTTCACCCCTTGTCGTTTGTCGCCTCTACAGGGTGACTGCTGCCATTGCTGCTCTTCTATTGAGAAAGTGGAGGGGTCGCGCTTCGTTTAACGGCAACGAAAAGGTCACGAAGGCTCCGCGCCCGTCGGATGCAGAACCAATATTGTATGTGATATCTACTGATGACCGAGCCATGCAGATAGTTTTCATGTGCTGATATCCGCAGTGCAACCTTCGTCGCATCGTCGTTATCATCCCACGTGCCACCGCCTGCAGAAGTTGTACGAGTTCCTGGATGCTGAGGGTCAGGCGGAGAATATGGTGTTCTATGACCAGCGAGAGGGAGGCGGGATAACAGCAGAGGGGAAAGGGGTTGAGCAGAGGCGAAAGATATTTCGGGGAGTGAACGGACTTTTTTTCACGTTGATGGTCCTGCGCACCGCAACGCCGATTGTGGTGGCATCGGCCCTGTTTGGTGTCCACGAGACTACCGGGGGAAGGGCGTTCACGACGTGGTTGAACTTCCTGTGGCGTAGTCTTCGCCCTTTGGTTCGTCTTCCTACGTTAGCAGAGGTGGACGAGTTCGTCCCGCAGAACTTTGTCGATCATGGGTATGCGAAGTGTGTTCTTGTTCTGGACGCCACTGAGTTAGAGATTTGCAGGTCTTGGCAAACTGACTGGAACTGGATCACATATTCCACGTACAAGGGCCGACAGAGGGCAAAATTACTTGTCGCGGTCACCCCTGGGGGTGCTATTTGCTACATTGGGCCCGCGTGTCCCGGTAGGATGTCCGATGTGGAGGTTGTAAAGGCGTCTGGTCTTGTCGACGCCATGGTGGACAATGGCCTTGGTGACCAAGGCCTCATCGTCATGGCGGACAAGGGGTTTAATTCAGTGTCGCCGTTGTTGATCGAAGAAGGTTTCCTGTACGTGGCGCCCCCTTACAAGCGGCAGAAGGAGAAGCAGTTCACGCAAGCCGACATGGAATCCATCTGGGAGGTAGCGAATTTGCGCATTCATGTAGAGCGGGCAATCGGGGCCATGAAGATGTGGAGTATCGTCTACAAGAAATTCAACCATAAGCAACTCGATCACTTGGAGATGTTTCTTCCACGTGGTTGCAGCTCTAGTAAACATGATGCAGCAGCCGTTCAAGAGCGATAGTTAAATTTGTTTGTTTTCTCTTCTTTTTTTTCTTTATCTCCTGTTTGAGTTTGGAGTTTTTGCCTTTCTCCTGATAAACGAGTTCTGTTTCGAGCCTAGCGTTGGGTTGGTTGACACATACCGGCCCATGACGTGCATCGGTTGTATCCAGGCCTCGAACGGAATACTAATTGTTGGGTATCCCTCGTGAACGTTGGGCATCCTTTGGGTGGAGATAGATTATTGCGTCTTGAACTTCCTTGGGGACGGAACCAGATGAATATCTTGCGGCATCCGTTCTTTCCTCGTGGGACGTTAGATAATGCCCGAAGAGAAAGCGTGCGAATAGTTACACGGGAAACGAAAAGACGCCTAGAATGATGGCTTCATCAAACCTTATTGCGAAGGGCTTGGCACAACCCAACCCCGCGTTTCAGTGCTATGTATAAGGTTTCGTGCATATTCCTGGCTCCACGCGCGACACAGTGCGAAAATGTGGTATCGGGTTTGAAGAGTGCAACCTTTCGTCGATTGCTGTAAAGTTGTACTTCAGGCGTCGGGGTAATCGCTTTACTGCGTAGAATCGGTGTCCAAGTGCTTCAAGACGAGAGCAACACATACTTCGTAGCGGAAATCACCATGTTGTATCCCCTGGCAGGCCCAGGTGCAAAATTAGCCTGCATCCATAAAAAAAATGTACACCCCCCCCCCCCCCCCCCCCCCCCCCCCCCCCCCCCCCCCCCCCCCCCCCCCCCCCCCCCCCCCCCCCCC